TCTTCCAGAAACTGAAGTTTATGCCATCGAACTTCTCGATCATAGATGTGGATGTCTTATCTTCTGATGCCATTACTCCCACTCGAACAGACAGATCTAATCGAAAGACTTTTAGAATTTCATCAAACACCTTCTGTGCCCTAAGTTTTCAATCAAAGGCTCTGATACCAGTTGTTGGAGTTGCTCTGCACAATCAACTGATTTTGATACCAGTTGTTGTGGCGGAAACACAAAATAATAACGCGCACTATTCGAGGAATAATCAAGCAATCATAAAAAAAAAATCACAAAGAAAAATCACACACAAGAACACAAGATATACATGGTTCACCTCCATGGAGCACACCGAACAACTTCACTATGAATAAGATGAAGAATTACAAAAAGTATTTTCTCTGTATCTTTCTCAATCGCTCTTTCTTGTGTTGGCACAAATTTCTCTCACACTTCTTCACATTCTAAAAATACTGATTAGGGTTGATATATATATAGCCCTATACAATGTAACATAACTTGTCCTACAAGAATTGTTTTTTGTAGAGTCCAAAACCAACAAGGAAAATAAATCACGTAGGTTTCCAGAAAAGTTGAACCGGTACCATGAATTGGCTACCGGTTCCCAATGTCCAGAGATGAATCGTCTTTAATTCTATAACCGATTCCAGAATTGGTTACCGGTTCCCACTAGACAGTGGCTGATCAACGTTTTCTTGATTTTGGCTATCACTCCATAGAACCGGTACCAAATCTCTGAACCGGTTCTCACACGTCAGTAACCAAAAAAAATATAAGAACCATTTAGTTTTCCAAAATCTTCACGTTATCACGTGATCAGACTCCACCACAAAAAACACAACAGGGTGCTGGTGCGCCCTCATGCACACACCCCCACACACACCCCACCCATCAAACGGGGCCAAGACTAAAGATCTTGCCATTTAGAATGAACATCTTCTGCAACACAGAGAGGTCGAGAACGACTCACACCACGTTGTATGGAGAAATCAACCTTTGTCGCAGTAAGAATCGAAGAATTGTGTTCACCCTAGGCCAGAGAAAATATTTATAGCTGAATACTTTGTTACGATTCAATTCAATTCAGTACAATTGATTTTACAATTCAATTTGATTCCAATTTTTATAGAATCATTGAAATTGATTTGATTTAAAATGCTTTCGAAACAATCCAATTTAAATTATATGCATCCCTAACAACATAATATTAAATAAATATATATAGAGTGCATTTGTTCAATAGTGACGTGGTAACATCCCATTCCATTTTGATGATCAAAACTCTCTTACTAGGCATATTAACAATTCTGCATTGGAACATCCTGATGGCCAGAAACAAACACACGCATTAAAAGCCTAAGTACAAGCCGTGCTTACAATTCCTGACAAACTCCTGCACAAGTCATGCATGCTCTCGCTCTCTCTCTCTCTCTCTCACTTCCCAATGTTTCAACAGATTAAACTCCACTTTGTGTCATTCCTCCCATCACATGCATGGACTGACATTACTACTCATTGTACCACATGCACATGCAAACTACTCTCTTCTCTCTCTCTCTCTTGTTTCTCTCTCCAAAACACACACTAATGTTTGGGTCCGCACTTTCTTTCACATAAATAGAGAAGTAGTAATAATAGCTGCATTGATGATGGCATGATGACGAGACTAAAGTGTCACCCATTCTCAATATTCTATCATCAAGTATCGCTCCAAGCCATCAACTGTACAGTCTATTCATGGTGTGGGGACGAGTAGGGTTGGCCACTTTCTCTAATGGAAACATGCACATTAAAAAGCTATCATAAATTGGTCCCTCTTAGTACATACTCATTAAATTCCATGGACTCTCTGTCTCTCTCCTCCTCTTTCTCTCTTTAACATATATATATATATATATTAAAGGATCCCATGCATAGTTGTTACGTGTACATTTATAAATGATAATGATATGGTGCCATGTTAGGCCTTCCCCATATGAAAGGGAAGTTTTTAGATGATGTGGTTGGCTAATTGGCTCTTGCTTGGTTTTTATTTACCCAACCAATAAACCCACCAAGGTCCCCAACTCTTTACATATCTCCCTCTCTTTGTACTGTGTGTGAGAGAAATTGGATTTTGTTAATTTTTTGTTTTTTCACCGGCATGAAACTGATCATATTCATTTGTTCTTATAAAAACTTCCGTTACAATTTTTAAAAACTAAAGGAGATATCATTAGATTACAATTTTTGATGAGTTTCCCATAAGATAATTTACTTAAAAATCTTGTATTGAATTAAATTCTTGAACGCATTAAGTATTTGTCCGAATCACTGGTACTCGCAATTTAAAATAATCAGTGAGAGATTAAAAAATCCAACAAAGAGTTAACTGAATAAAATTAATACAAAAATATTTACTGAAAATAGATTGAGCAAAAACAAATAATCAGAATTCAATTGAATATCTAGGGATTGTTCTCATATTCTTAGAGATTGTGATTCTTCCATGAAGTGATTGTTGTCAAAAGTGACTAATGGAATGTAATAAAAGAGATTATTAATCAATTAAAATGGAGAGATATTGATCTCTAGCCACAAGGGGAGGGCGAGAGATAGAGCGCTCCAAGAGTGTGAGAAAGGGAGAAAAAAAAAATTGCCTAAAAAGAATAGTGGGCTAAAGATAAACAATAGAGTGGGGATATATAATTTCTTTAAAAGAATATATATATATATATATATATATATATACAAAATGGAGATAAAACATTGACTGACCAATAATTTTAAAAAACTTTTATGGAGATTGGATGCATAAACGTGTTTTGATTTTCAAACTACATGCTTCTCCACTGTCTTGTATTTGTCCAAGAGTAATATTACCATGAGTTTTATCACATGGTAGTTGTCATGAGGTCTGTCTTTTTATCCTGACCATGTAAAATTTTTGAGATACACATACTATCGTTTCAAAGAGAATTAAATGAAATTAAATTATATGTTAAAAATTCATTTAATGTAGATCCCACCAATCAATCAAACTTTTTATATTCTTTTAACTTTGTTTGACTAATTTAAACTATCATCTTTAATTGTCTCATATAATTTTTTTTTTTTTTTTGATATTTTGAGTAATATTTTTTTTACATTGAAATTATTTTATTATTGGCTAATTGATGATTGTAACTGGTGCACTATTTTTATTTTTACTTTTTTGGAAAAAAAACCTAATAATTAAATGACATTTCATGAAAAACTATCCGAAATTCTTTTCACAAACAATTTATTACAATTAATAAAAATAAATAAAATTTGATTTGAGGTTCAAGACAATTTTCAATGTATCCAATTTATACATTTCACCTATAGTTTGGTCGCTAACAAAAACACATTTTTTAATTTAAAATTGTGTAAAATAGTAGTATCTCATCTATTTTTTAAAGTGAAAAGTGAATATTTAAATTTTTGCAAGAATAAACGAGAGAGTGTGAATTTTTTATTAATAAAAAATAAATAAAAATAAATAACACTTTGCTTTCATTTTGAGAATTTCCTGGTTGACCCATGCATCTTAAAGTTTCTTGTTTCATTCAATAAAAGTGCATGTGTATGCATATATATCCTTATATTTAATAATAGTATATATATATATCTATATATACTATTATACCCTTATATTTTGAGAGAGAGACCATGTTGGATGGGCTGGAAAGAAGGCTATCAGCTTTTCAGGATGATAGGCAGACACGAGCAGCCATTGTTCCTAATTTTAAATATCACGTCTTCGATGTTTGAGCATTTGATGCTCACTATTTTACTTATTTGAGAGAGAGAAGAGAGAAGAGAGAAGAGAGAGGAGAGAGGAGAGAGGAGAGAGAGAAGGGGTTATTCGACAATTCAGAGCCCCGTACAGTTTTGCAGGTAAGGTGGGAGGCACATGTTTGGCAAGCGAATGTCCTATGAGACCACGTCCCTCTGATTCATTTTTCTCGGGTTTAGATACATTTACCAAACTCTATTTATTTCTTTATTATTAGCTAATTATAACCATAACATATTTATTATTATCAATTATGTGTTATCATATTACTATATTTCAACGTTATATATATAAATAGACGTGTAATGTAATGATGCCACACCACTTTTTGAGCACTACCTTTTCTAACTAATGGCTTTGGAAAACTGAAGGCCAGAACTCTTTCTTTGATCAGAACAAAGTAGGTTTTTCTAATAAAAGTACTACTAGCTATTTTCATTTAAAAACAATTTACACAAAAATGTAATCACTTTTCAAATTTGAAAGCTTCTTGCAACAATTGTATCCATTGACCAATGACTTAATTCAAATAGTACATTTCCTTTCTGTTTTTTATTTTTTTAAATATAAGGTTGATGATTGAGGTTAAAAAAAAGAAAAGTTGTGTTAGCTAGGGAAATTAATTACTTAGTATAGAGATGGCACGGTACTTTGGATTTTTCTTCATTACTAAAAAGAGTTCAAACGAGCTCCCATTAAAATTAGAGCACAAATATCAACTCTCATTAAAATTGCTTGAACGGTCTTGTAATTTTTTTTTTTTTTTTTTTTTTTAATGTTATTCAATCTTGTTGTACTGATCAATATAGAACACAATTTTGATCAAAGTTTGACAAAGATAGTTTAAATAAGTGACACTTATGTTGTAATCAAGATCAACTCATTGCTACAGTAATTGCGAATTCCAAGTGAAGGTTGGTTATTCTATACACTCATCAAGTCTAAAAAGGACCTTTTCGTGATATTCGAAAAAGAAATGTTTCATAAGGTAATTTCACTTTTTGAGAAAAGCCCTAAAGTTGATAGCTGGAGGACCCTTAGCTTAAACATTTTCTCATTTTAAAGTAACAGGTGCAACATATATTTCGTCATAACAAAGTCAATATAATTTACTGTTAGACATCCTTAAATAAACATATAATATATATATATATATATATATAAATAAAATATAATATAAAATTTTTATACTATAACTTACCGACCATCATCTCTCTATCTATCTATCTATCTATCTATCTATCTTCCTCTGCAACTATTTCATCCCCACAAGCTTCCAAACAAAGAGAATTTATGGAAAGTGAGATTTGCAAGGTTTGTTCTCTTTGTTGTCTTCTCATATATTTGCCACAAAATTGAAAACAAAGTCTTATCTGGTCAAATGGGTATCTCTTTCGAATTTAAAGATTGAAAAAGGGTTTTTGATCTCTCTCTCTCTCTCTCTATATATATTCATTTCCATGGATAAGCTGGTGATGAGGTTGCAGATTAATACGACTCATCAAAGCTGGGGGTTAGTGTTTATGGGTTTGTCAATATGACCATGTTTCCTGCTCAAAACCTCTCGAAACGACATCGTTATGGTGGCTATGGTGGAGGTTATTGGGAGAGTTTTGGTGGTGTTGTTATGAGTGGATTAGAAGAAGGGTATGAGTGTTGTAGTAGTGAGGCTGCTTATTCTTGCTTAGGATCTGGTTCTACTCCAGTACTGGTTGGTACTGGTCTGATGGCTGAAGATGAATCAAGAACCGAGACTAGTACTGTTAATAATGAAACAGGCTCAACCTCAAAGAACAACAACAACAACAACATTAATATTGTTGTTGATCATGATCATGATGTGAGAGACGAATCGGGATGGCTCCAATTGGGTATTGGAGGAGATCATCATCACCACCATCAACACATGACCACAAGCAATGATCAAACGGCTGGGAGAAGTGCTGGATTGATGGAGCTTGATCTGTTGCCGGCCGGTGATGGTTCGCGGCAAGGGTTCAGGTCATTAGACCCTATCTTCCATGTGCCCGATTTTCGGCCTCCCCTGCAGGATACAAGCATCACTAGTGCTTCTTTGTACTTGCAGCACCCGGGGACTAGCTCGGTTTTTCCTCAACAGGAGATTAATAACTGGGCATTTAGGCCTATTCCGCGCCATATAACTGCAGCTTCTTCTTCCTCCTCCTCTTCTCGGTCTTCGTTGATGATGCCACCGGGAGCCTATTTTACTGGACCATTTCAACTACATGCCGGAGTAGATGTAGCCAGGCCAAGTTTAGATTTCAGAGTTGTTGATCCTCCTCGGAGACCCCATTCAGGCTTATGGTTTATGTTACAAGCATCACCAAATCAGTAGGTGGAAATTAATGTGAAACCATAGGGGAACAATTATAGTTTTATACATATATACATACAAACTAATGATGTATATAGCTTTTTCTTTCATTATATATGGTTTTCTCCCTCTCTCTTTTTTCAAATATGCAATCTTGTGTGTAACAATTGCATTTTGTTTCTCATTGCAGAACAAGAGAACCATCTTTGCCTCAGATACCCAAAAGCTACCTGAGAATTAAGTAATCTTTTTTTTTTTTTTTTTTATCCTTTTTATTATTATTATTTTTTATTTCTCCCAACATTTGTATCTCCCATTAATGTTTTCTTCTACCATTTATCCAATTGTTTTTCTCTTTTTCTTAATGTAACAAAGACTTTGTTTTATGATTATATCTGATGTTTAGTGTTTGTTTTGAATTTGGTTGTTGTTAGAGATGGAAGGATGACAGTTGGATTACTAATGAAGTATCTGGTTATGAAGCTAAGATTGAATAGCGAATCGGAGGTACGTAAAACCATTAATTAATACTTTAGCTGCATCACATTTCAAATTGTGATAGAAGTAGATGATTAATGTTAGCATTTTCTTATGTATTTGGGACATGAATGCATATTTGATTACCAACCAAAGATATATGCAACAAAACTATACTAAATAAAGGACAGAAAAACAACAAAAGAACAAAAGTAGAAACTACCAAATCTGGCTATCTCTTCAACCAAACAATTAATTCTTTAGATGGTCATGGTTGGTGTAAGAAACATGCATGACAAACACATCAGAACTAATTAATGGGCTTCTCTTAGTGATATCTACCACTTCTGTAAAAAAAATGTTTAGGTGTTATGTATCTTTCTTGGTAGCGCTCTCTTCTGAGTTTTTGTATTATTAGCTTTCTAGCTCAAAAATCATAGTTGTAAGGTGGCCTTGGAACTTTGTTTCATTAAGGGAATGAGTCTTTTGAATTAACGGTCGTAAGATTGATGTTTAGCTATTGATTAATCTTTGACTGTTATGTTTAAGTTATAGAGTTAAGTGAGTAATCTGAAGATAATTGAGAAAACTACCTACCAACCTCTTTCCCTTAAAAACCCCAAAATAAAAACCCCCAAAATGAAGAAGTGGTATAATATTCTAGAGGTCTATTTTGTCGTAGTGTTCATTTGTTGTACTCAAGAATGTAAGTTCCAATCACTTGGCATTTAATTGCATTAAGTGCTATAGGAGAAACTACCATTGAATTTGATATTATTCAGAAGAACAAAAATGAAGAAATTGAGGGAAAAATATATAAGAAGCAAGAAAGAAAAGTATTAGAACACTAAAATGAATGGGTCGAAAGTGGTAATAAATACAAGAGATCTAACAACTATACTTATTATGCAATTCTTTACAATTTCAGATATATTCTTAGATATATGCCAATAATAGATCATTGTCAGTGTCCCTTTGGAAAAATCATACAATAAGCAAGAAAAGAAGACAATGTGTTGCTTTCAAGCACATGCAGTGTTGTAAATTGTAATCCTATTCATTGTTACTAGGTGAAGTCTCACAACTTAGAAGGTTGAGTATATTACATATTAGGCTGTTACTAGTTTTAGAGTATAGTTCACATAAATGCCTTCTTCTACCAAATGAGATGATAATAATCAAGAGAGTTGAGAGGTTGTCATCTCAATCCAATGACAATCAAATTCTCATTATTCCAGCATGCATATGCATGCATGCAACGACATGAGTTAAAACTGTTACAGTGAGGATTTTACCACTGGTTTACGATTGAATAGAAGCCTATTCTTAGTGAAGAAGCCAATACCCTAATGTTCACGAGAGAGACAGATAGAGATTTTTCTGCAATGGGGTAGACTCCTGTGAAGTGATATCTTATTAGTAATCATCTGTTTTGTTAACTGTTAATTCTAATTAGGATGGTCATATTAGTATCTGTAATCTACGCAGTATTAGGCTTATTCTTTAATAGTTTGAATTTGGGGATAAGTGCTTATCTTGCACACTTGTTTACTATATATCTTCATTCTATTTGGGAATCGTACCAACTAAAATATACATTTTTTTTCAATAACCTAGGGTGTCCCAAGCCCCTTCAGGAGAGAGTTTCTTCTTTTATGACATCCCTCGATATTGAACACAAGATTTCTGAGTTATTTTATAAGCTTGTAGGGCGCGTAAGAATAGTATCAAACTCTACTTTTAACATACTAAGCTTAGTGTTATCTCTTTATCTATTCTTATGACTCTACCAGAAGGGTCTGCTAGTATTAATTCATTATGAAAATTATCATGTTTCTCACTTATATTCTCAAAACCAATGGATTCAATCTGCAAAGTTTCCGGAGCTAAATAAAGAGTGAAGTGAATCTATAAGTATAGGGTGGGTTTGGTTGGTTTTTTTTTGAAAAAACAGTTCTTAAAACTCAAAAAATAGAAAACTGTGTTTAAAAATTTTAAAAACAGTTATAAAAATATACCTTTTCTTTTTTAAACTGAGTTTTCAAAAACTGTCAACCATACAAATTTTTTTTCCCACACTTCTTTGATTTTCATTTTTCATGAAATAGTTGTCAGAAAAGAGAACCAAATAATAGGTCCGTAGTCTCTATATCTTCAAACAAAACATGGGAACTAAGTACAGGCATGCTTGCGCTGCAAACTATCTTTTTGCCTTTTCTAAGTATATAGTTATGTTGAAGAAATTATACTTAGTCCTACATGCTATTGGATATTCTGTTTGCCAACTCTTCTTGTTGGATTAGTTGATTGCACTAACTTTCCTGCTAGTAAATCTACTTCAGTTCAAATCCTATTGGACTCGCAACGCTTAGTGCCATTGATTATTTACCCATACAGAAACTTATACATCTATTGACAACTATCCACCAACTTGTATATCTAGCTATATATATTATCTATTCTAATGTAGAGAATCTAAATAAAGATTACAGGAGAATTTACACACATGTTGTAGCCTTTATGAGGTTGTACAGGTTTATGTGTGCATGTGTGTGCTCTTTGGAGCTCATAAAAGTAAATATGAGAAGGGATTATTAAACTAGATATATCTCAGACTGATCACATAAATTACTTGGGGAAATACAATGGTATATGAAAATTTTCTTGCATGGAGTCTATTAGATGAAGTGTTTCCCCTCACAAAAAAAAAAAAAAATATATATATATATATATATATATATATCATATAGTCCATTTGCTTTCCCCTCAGACGGAATTTAATCGATGAAAATTGATCCCTTTTAGCTAGGGAATTGGATTTCCTCCATCAAAATTCTGTGTTCCCCTTTTTGATGTCTTGTAGATGATGAATCATTAGGTAGGACAAGCGTAGGCAAAATCCATCTTTCATGAAGGAATATTGTGTCTCATGTAGTACTATATTCCATCCAAAGTTGGGATCTTATTACTCTAAATTATCAATCTGCTTTATGTTGAACACATTTAGTGGAAAAGTTTCTCCTTTTGTTCATTTAGATTACTAGAAAATTTGTTGTTGATTTTATTCTTCATTTTCCTAGAATCACTTCATTAGCAATTAGCACTTTTAAAAGTGGTGCATGATAGGCCAATATAATGGCAGGCTTGGTGTTCAAACATTAAAGAGTTTAAGCATTTAGTGATTCCTCAAATTAGTAAAAAAACACAAAATAAATGGATCAGTTTTTTTTTTTTTTTTGTCTATACCAAATTTAAACTAAAATTACATATGGTGAAATGTCAAGCAAAGATATAGTACGAGAATGATGGGACACTAGACAATTCCTTCTGTCTGATTCTCTCTGTCCAACATGCATGTTAAAATCTTGTTAAAAGCTTGTCACTAACAGAAAATCATGAAAATTTGCTCATGCTTGCTTATATGTTGCTGATGGCAAAAACTATTAAACAAAAATTTTGTATATTCTTTCCTCTCTTTATGGCGAACTTTATTTATTGGGAAAAGAAATACTGAAAAGGCGCCATTGAAGGGGAAATATATCTTATGTATGTGCTATGGCCGGGAGGCCGCCATGGAGAACAAATCAAGGAGTTAAGATATTTGCTAACTAGGTTCCTTTCTTGAGTGACTTTTGCTTGCCTAATGCAAACTCAATTGTAACAAAAAAAAAAATCAGTTCTTGACTGCTTTTCATATTCCAAATCGAGGGATTAAAAGAATGCAAAGGATCTAGAAATTATTCAAAGTAATTAACATGATGACAAAGGAGAGAAAAAAAAAAAACATGGACAAGGACAGTGAATTAAGGTAGCTGGAAGAGTTTCATCTATAAAATTATATGTATATTCTGGTTATCTTTTTCTTAGTACAGATTAATAGGTTAATGTTCAGAACCATATTATTAAATTAGTGGTACTTAAAATGAAACAGCAATACTCAATATATACCCATTAATTTCTGGTAGAATTTTCTTTTTTCTTTTTTTTTTTTTTCTTTTCTTCTTCCTAATGATGTTTTAATTATTTAAATCTAGATGTTTTTATCTACAGCATATAAAATCAACTATACAAAAAATACAATTATATATAACTCTTATAAAACAATGTCCTAACTAGCTAGCATGTATGACACACACACACAACATTCCTTTTGCTTCATTCAATTCATGAACTACTCATATATTTTAGTATTGAGGTCAACCCTTATACAGCCATTGCAATGCATATTATTTCTCTTGATTCCTTGCACGTCATGCCATGAAATAAGGATATCAGATTAGTTTAGGAACCATTGATATATGTTGTGTGTGTGTGTGTGTGTGTATATATATATATATATATTTTCCAATCAAGTACAAACAACTTATTGCATTATACTCATGCATAAAAAATAATTCAATCTATTTAGGATGTTTGTGACACTTAACATTCTCTTTGTTTTTTTCTATAATTAAAGAATTCATTTGTTTTGTTATGTTTTGAGGTCAACTCTATGCCACCAATTAGAAATTTCTTCCTATATATCCCAATAATCCAACTGGAAGATGATTTGAGTGATCACTTGTTACATGCAACACCTAATCTATTTCACACACATGCATGCAACTAAGTATCCAATGATTAGGCTTATAAATGATGACAAAAGATGAGATGAAACATAAAATTTTGAGAATATAAATTAATAATTATATATATATATATATATATATATATATGTAAATTTTTGTCCGTAATTCACGGAGTCTCTCTCTCTCTCTCTCATACACACGCACACAGAGAGTGACATTCTTAGGAAGCATGATTACTTCTCATTGTGCTTCATTATTTTCTGTTCATACTCTATATTTTGTGATGATTAGCCACAATCCTTGAGAAGCACTGAGAATTTGTTTGCAAGGACACGAGATAAAGTCTAGGGCAATAATAATCAATGCAGGAAAGGAGAAGAGTGTTTTTTTATTTCTTTTCTATAAGTTTTGTGGAGTGCACTCACTTTAAGATGTAAAAACACACAATGGATTATCATGATCTTGGCCTAGTTGACACTCATTAACATATGAAAAAGTTGATAATAACACATCAAAATATATAATATGGTAGGGTCATGAAAATCAAGCATGGACCCTATCATTTTCTAATCCAGCTGCATGCGTTATCGCTACCATTTCTCGTCACGCTTTCACTTGTTTCAACTAAGCTTTCCGCCCCTGCAGCTGAAAATGTAGGCCCTTCTCCCACTTTTCACACAGATTGTGCTTAAAAAGGGACATCAAAATCCCTAAGTGGTGCACTTTGATGGAACTAATAGAGAAACCCCATCATCTCTCATGCATCCATCATCACAAACCAAATACAAAGGCTTAGATCAAACAAAACATTATTTCAGGTTTGAAAAACAATACATGTTAGGGACAAATATACATCGTAATCATTCAAAATTGTTGAAAAGAAAATTAAATGAGGTTAAAGAATCATAAGTAGATTACAACTAATAAAACCCTAATTAATTAAAGATGATTATCATTGACGATCTGTAGTCTAGTGGTATCTTCTTTACCCTCCAAATTAAGTAGAGAACTGGAATCAGTCCCGCACTAGAGAGGATCCAGTCTCCACAAAGAGTCAAGATTGGACCACTAGGGGAAACATACCTATGTTTGGTAGAGTACAACATCTCTCCAAAGTAGAAGATAAAAGTTCAAGTCTTCGAAACTTTTGAATATTTGTCAAAGATATAAAAAAATTAATTAATGATTGCAGATGGAATATGTGCACAATAAAATATAAGAGGATAATATTCCTTAGTTCATACTTAGGGGAAAAAAAAATTCATAATTGATTGGAATTAAGAATTTAAGAGGTTTGATCTAGGGTTCCTAAGTGTTATTAAATTAGAACAAACTTAGAATTGAAAAGGAAAATACTAATTAAAGACAGGTGGTTCGTGGAGGAATATATTTTAATTTGAAAGGTTGTTCATGGAGGAATATTGACCTTTACATTAGGTGTCTATCTTTTATTTTTGAAGAGAGGGACAGCAACGTGAAGGAGACGTGCATGAGCTTGAAATATATACGACGATGTTTACATGTAATTAGGTTTTAGAAAATGAAAGGTAGTGCGAGTGCTAGTATTTCGCCATGCTTTGTGGATCCGTCACTTTTCCATTCCATTAATAATACTGCTTGGTACCACACTACTAATATAGTATTATCTTTATCTATAAAAAAAAATATATATATATATATATAGATATAGATATAGATATATATATGTGTGTATGTGACTATGTGTATGTTAATGCAAGTCAATGGTTTCATGATTTTGTCTTACGAGCAAAGTCTGGGTGGGTCCTATAATGATGAAACTCGGGCAGATTATAGTCGTGGGATGCGCGGGCACCATTAGTGTCGGTATCTGTGGCTGACTGCTGCCCGAAGTATTGCGTCCTGGAGGAATCCCTTGGAGTAAAGAAAAAAGTTAGAGAGAGAGAGAGAGAGAGAGAGATTTTTGATGGGTAAAGTAGAAGTTATATTGCAATATGGAACTGGGAGACGTAAGCTTGTGACAAAGCATGACTTCAATACCACTTCTGTTTCGCCATCTATTGGAAAATTACATTATAATACTATTCAAATATTTTTTGTTATTCCAAAAAAATAAAATAAAGAACATTAATAAAATTTACTTACCTTGCTAAATATTTATATATATATATATACATTTTTTTTTTTTAAATAAAATTTTGCTGCACTAAATGAGGATTCTCTTGCTTTTATAGTGTTCTCTTGGTTGTTATTGCAATAAAATTTTAGCATTGTGATAGTTCGATAGTTATGGTGTTGTAGCATTTTTTTGGCCGGCCCAATTAGAGACATTTAGATCCAGCCCAATATCGAACCCAACTAGCACTACTAGACCTAAGCAACCCTTCGTGCATAAACATAGGGAGACAATATTATTATAAATTAGATGTGGCATTGATAAGCTTATAACCTCTAGTCATGGTTGGCCATATCATCCGATACGCGATTCCTTTTCAAATCTGATATGCAACTCATATCGACCAATTTACATTGACTTTATCTGAGTTCGTTACATTGCAATTGCGACTGATACCGTGACCATAACCGATACTGCGAACCAAGGCTCTAGTTTTTGTATATGATAGTTAATGATCTACTTTGTGGCCGACCCTATTCATTCATACCTGATAAATGCAATGACCCGACAAAGAATTTTGCTACCTTAAAACCGTTAACAAGGCTTCAATTGCCGGCTCCCCGCCATTAGGTCACCAAATTCCTAGACCTTCCAATACCGGGTAAGCGTCTGCCCTCATAAATGGTCTTACGACTTTGCAGAGACTTGTATTTTTAGTAAACAGTCGCCCGAGTCTTGTTACTGCGACCCCATTCTTCTACCAAAGTTACAGGACTATTTTGTCGAATTTCTTAGAGAGAGTTGTCTCATGTCCTAGGTATTCTATACCTACCCACCTATTATTGATCTGCCTAGAGTTGTCTCGTGTCCTAGAGTTCGTTTCTAGTAGAGGTACCCGAATTAATGATCTGCCTTAAACCCCTCCATTATTAATTATCATGCATACATGTCTCTCTTTGTTTCTATATATTTAGCTGCAATATATATTGTATTATCACTAACTAAGGTGCATGTATAAATTGTGGCATGTATGATGGACCTAAGCAGATAGAGATAACTTGTAGAGGACAACCACTTCTACCTTTCTTGACGTTGCAGCATGTAAGAGATAACATATGGAGTCCAAGAAACATTGTGACTTTACTTCCAGACTCCTCAACTGCTGATCATGTCATGGTGCTACAATATGGTAGGAGTGCTTAATTAAACATGAAAACTATTTCAATCTTAATTATCTCCCACATGTATCATTGTTAAATTATGAGAACCCTTTATTATTATTATTTTTCTTTTATTTGTTTGTTTTTTTTTTTTTTTTTTCAATTTCCCTAAGTGGATTTTGTTATTTATTTTCCTTTTTTCGTTTTTTTCTTTTTTTACTTCTCTAATTGATGGAGAAAATAGTTTGAATATGACCAAAATGATATGTATATGCTTTTGGGGTTCATAACATAACCTAAACTGTATTACCAATCCACAGGGGCTTGGTATTTTATTCTACTCTTTTACTTGACTGCTTCAAAATTTAATTTGTGATCTGAGTGGATGATTTTTTATTTTATTTTTACTACTTGAAGAATAAAGATTTACTTAAAAGAAGATTCTAAACTAAAACTTCAATCTAATTGTACACAAGTTAATGTTGCTCAATCTAACTGATATTTACATGTAGAGCTACCTCCAAATGAAATCCGGCCCACATGCTGCATCCAATGTTTTTTAGACCAAAAAAAAAAAAAAAAAAAAAACCACCATAGTAATTCCTGTATGAAAATGAAGTCCACCTCAGAAAAAAAGTAGGGCCACAGGGGGCACTAGAACTTACAAATTAAGCACTATTTCCTCATATCAAGAAAATGCAAAAAATAAAATTAATTAAGGAAATTCGCAGTACAAACATACTCATTTCATTGGTAATATTTTCTTCATGTACATGGTAAATTACTTTCATACTTGACAATAAGGAGAGCAATTTGTGTTAACGAGCTATATTCGAGTTGTATGTTGATCTGATAAGGTTTTTTTTTTGCATAAGTTAATCCGAACATGACCCAATTAATAATTGTGTCAAGAATTTTTTATCAAACATAATCAATTTATTAAACAACATAACATAACTCGTGTGTAATCCTTTTAATATATGAGTCATGTGACTCACAATACGACACAACCTGTTTATTAAGCTATTTAACTCGTTTAAATTAAATAGGTCATTTTATCCTTTTATTAAATCATCTATAAAATGCAAATATAATAAAAAGAAATACATAATGGATGACTATATTCATGAAAATGAGAATTATTAGAACAATGCAATTAGAGAAAAATGACAAATATAATAACCATATTGAGTTTATAATGGAGATAAATAAAAAATAAAAATAAAAATTGTCCATGGTAATTGGAATAAAGCAGGTTACGAATTAATCGGATTAAACTAACAGGATTAGTTAAACGGGTTTAATTGGATAAACAAGTTTAATTAGGTTAAATAGGTTGAGCTCCAAAATACAAAGATGACACACACTTAATAAAACGGATTGGCATGATTATGATATGAACACAATTAAGAACAACACAAATCAAATAATTTGGTGTCATGTTCTAGTCATGTTAGCATGTCATTTCAAATTTTGCCACCCCTACATATCATAACATGATAAGTTGGTTAACGTATATATAACTAACAAATGGACTTATTGTAAAGCGGTTGTTGCCCAAAATGTCAAGTTACCTTAGCCAACATGTGTTAAGGTACGCTCTCCCTAACTATCTTGAGTCATCAATTCAAGGATACACGAGTCCACACTCATTTGACTTTCTAGTTAAATTTAGCACATTAAACCTAATGCATGAACATAGTCAACCTTAGGCACACGAGCCTCACTCTTCCTAAGGGAAAATCTAGATTCCCACCTTACTGGACTACGATTGACTTAATTCTTACCACACCCAAGATATGTCATGTCCCAAATCTCATTATCCGGTGCATGAATGGGTAAACTCAAAATTTGACTCGGTATCGAATCCAAAATGCGGAAGCTAAGACCCATATTAGCCTACATGGATAATATAATCATAAATGATATGTCTAATAAGGTTCATTAATGTAACACTAACTATTTATAAATGTCTTATAAGCTTATAGAGGAATGGTTTCGTCACAAATCGACATTTTTAACTTCACTAAAATAGACATAACTCTTTCTATGTTTGGAATATTTGAATGTGGCTGATACTATTGGAAATCTAACTTTAAGAGGTTCAATATAAAAAATGAGGGAGATATGGTTAAATGAAATTAGGATAATCAAATAGTAACCTCACTAGTCTTAAGAGGCGGCTTATAAGCTTTTGAGGCGGCTTATATGACATAGGAGATGACTCGTAATCCAATGAGGCGGCTCATAAGATCAGTAGCCTTCAAGAATCAATGAAAATACCTTTGAGGTGGCTCATATGCCTATAAGGCTGCTCATAAGTGCTGGGAAGCCCATCTACCCCCGAAGACCTCTGTTCTAAAACAAGATTCTCTCGGTAGAGCACCCACGACATAACACTGCTATGATTCATCATGAAAACACAACAAAACCTTCATCTTCAATCTCCTCTACAACATCCAAACCAGTTTAAAACCCATTCCAAATCATCAACAAATCATCTAAACCAGTCCAAGACTCCTTCACTAAAAAATCCCATCCCAAACCATCTCAAACCACCCTTCATCCTCAAGCCAAACTCAACACAGACATACCAAAAGAGAATTATTCCAACCACCTCTAAACAACAAGCAAGCATCTTACAAACAGAAATCTATCACCCTCCAATACCATCATCTTACTCTGGTAAACCACATATACATTTTCCTTCATCTACAACAAGTCTAGCCCGGGTTCAAAGCAAAGTCACTTCAGGCACAAATGTCATCCCTAAATCACCAAACAAATGCTCACAATGCAAGACAGTAGTCTCTCCAAAACCTTACCTACCCAAGAACTTCAACTCACTCTTGTATAGCTCTCCAGGCTACCAAATTGAAAGACTGCAAGAACAGCTCAAGTGGAAGGATGAAAACCTAGGAAAAGCAATGGATATGTACAAAGAATAGAAGAAGCTTGTTTCAGAATTGAGAGAGTGTGACGACCCTTGTTTTTTGGCCAGCGTGTCCTGTGATGAACCGAAGATTGACCCGATAACGGATCCGATATGCGGAAGCGAAAACATAAAACAAGACTCTAAGAAGTCAAAGTGACCTTCCATGAGGTCGTGGAACTAAATGAGAACTGATGCGGAAGCAAAAGATCAAAAATATGATAAATAAGCCCCCAGGGGCAAAATATTCATTTTTGAAAAATGTGGATTCGGGTGCCACCGAGCACACCGCTGAAAAGATAATAAAAAAATAATCAGGATGGACTTAAGAATCGAATGATTCGGAGTACGGACGTAGGAGAAACGGCCTGACGAAGAAAAACGAGCACTTAAGGCTAAAGGGGTAAAATGGTAATTATCCAGGAAGATCCGGGTGCAACTGAGCACACCGTTAGAAAGACAGCAAAAAATTAGTCAAGTTCAAAAAAAAGTTCACTCGATTTGGAGTCCGGATGAGGGAGAAACGAGGGTTTGAAGTTGAGACGTCGCGGCGGCCCGACGAAGGCCATGGCGCACACGGCGCCCATGCACGAGCCCACCGGTGCCCATGCCGGCGCCCAATGGCATGCACCAGCTGACAGCAAGAAAAAAAAAAGTGAGGTTCCAGAACTGAGGCTTGAAATGGAGGCCGAAACGAATTTTTCTGGAAAAACACGAAGAAGAAACCCCCCCTAAAATCGAGTTTTCTACCCGACCTCATGAACGGAATCGAAAAAAACTCACTGTAAAATCTCCAAAATGCCCCTAGATCAGAACTGAACAAGAGGGTTAAAAGTTGCTATAGTGACTGTCTGCAACTGAGAGCAAAAACGGGCTAGAAGATGATTTTTCTGGAAAAACACAAAGAAGAAACCCCCCCTCAAAATTGAATTTTCTACGTGACTCTTGGGAGAATTAAAAAAAAATGCAATGTAGAATGCCCGAAATGCCCCTCCATGAAATCTGGTCATGGAGGTCCAAAAAGCTGCTAAAAAAAAAACAGAAAGCTGAACTTTGCGATCGATTTCCGGCACCAAGATAACATTTTCTGGAAAAATACAAAAAAGAAACCCCCCTAAAATCACGTTTTCTAAGTGACCATGAAGGGACCGGAATTTATTTCCCGAAGGAAAACCCCAAAGTGCCCCTAAACCAGATTATGCAAAAAAAATGCAAAATGAATCCCTAGGAGGCTCAAATTGCCAAGGAAGAGGTTTTTCCCGGAAACGATCATCCACGCAGATGTAAATGGTGATTTTGAGCACGTGGGAATGGTCTGCGGCTCCTGGAAATAGCCGAGTCAAAATTCGACCCCCCCAACGGCCAAAAAGGCGAAAATGAACTTGAAATGGAAAATATGGAAACTAAAATTAGGAAATGGTTTCAAATGACCATTTGGCCCTTGGACACACTTCATACAAGATAAATGAGACCTAGTAGAGGTGCCGGAACACACTTTACACCACCCAATTTGAAAATGAACCCTTAAAGGCTCGGATTCTACTATTTTAGCCCAAAATGCAATATGTGAACTAAAATGTAAAAATGAACACTAAATGGTGTTTGGCCCTTGGCCACACCTCATACATGATTATAGAATCCCTATGAAAAAGAAGGAGTGGAATTCCCATGCCCAATGCAAAAGTTATGAAGAAAAGACTTGTGAATTTTCAATGTTTTTATAATAACTTTGAAAGTAAAGTGCATAGAATACCGGCCTCATCTTATACATGTTGAATACAATGAAAAGAGTATACTTATGCACACTTTACATACATAGAATCAAAGAATACAAGTTTTGTCATGAGAAGCTACAAATCATCCAAGGCAATGAAACCTTCAAGACTTGAGTCCTGTACCTGAAATATGCCCCAGTAACGTAGGGGTGAGCAACATAAAGCCACTCGTAGGAGATGAGCATACATCAACCTAGCATTTTATAAATTTATCACCTTAAGGTGAAACATGTTAAAGGGGCTCATGCCACCTTACGTCTATGTCAAAGTGAGGCTCAGGGAGCATCCTAAGCTACCTTAGAGTCTAAGCAACAAGAATTATGATATACATACGTATATGAAACGAATCATGGTTGGGATAATCTAAATAACACGACAAGAAAACAATGGAATATAAGGATCATATTATCAATGCA